AGAAATTTCAACGGGTCTGAGCAGTACATTGAAATACTCCAAAATTGATGATAAAAGTGGAACAGTAATATGAGGAAATGAAGGAATTCCACAAAGCAAAAAGAGACATATGAATATAAAAATCTTAAAATGGAAATTAGAATTGCCTTTGTTGTACAGTTCATACATAATGTTACATAATCCCTTCACTTACTTTTTTCTACAGGTGGTCATTTTCTTCACAGAAAGTTTGGTATCTTCATTAATTCCCTAGCACGCAGCTTTTAAGAACTGATCTAGCTTACAGATATGCTAATTAAGTACAGCAGCTAATTAAGTTAATAAAGTGATGTAAAAATACAAAGTTCCATATCAGGATACACGAATATGGTGAAAATACCAGTATATCATTTTGGGCAACCTGTATGAGTATTTTTGTCTCATCTGTGCTCTGATTCCCGAGCTTTAATTCTCCAGTTACATGGAGAATTTCCTTTTCATCTTGCTTTTGACACTAAATATATATATATATGATCTTAAAGCACTCAGAATTTACAAACTTGTTACAAAAGCCAGATGGAAATTAATTCCACCTTAATAGTTTGATTTTGCTTATATGTCATAACTTAGGGCAACAAATGAAACAAAAATGAGCATTATATGAGCATCTCAAGTTAAAGGAGATGAAGTCCTACAGAAATACCATGATGATGGTTTTAAAGACATTATAATTCTTGTTAATAGCATAATGATTGAGAGTGAAAAGACAGCATTAATTCAGGAAAACTTTGTGTTAAGTTAGAGTTATTATTACAAACAAAATACTGTATTAAAACACTATCTGTTTATATTGACAGTGAGCAATATTCAGAACAGTAGCTGGACTAGAAATAGTAACAAAACAATAAATCAAAAAAAAAAAAAAGTCCTATAAGTAGTGCTTATGAAACTTCAATTCATGATAAGAATATAAGTGGAAAGTTCTAAATTTTTCTTGTCATTTAAAAAAAAAAAAATTGAGTTAGAAGAAGCGCATAGAAGGATGATTGATAGAGTATGGTGGTATTATGAGCAATATTCTGGAAATGTCTCAAGAGAGAGCCTATAAATTTGAGTTCACACATCTCTGCCTTTTATACCACAGTTCCACAGAGGAATGTCTTCCATATGACCTTCCTCTTCATGCTTGCTTTATTCACTGTCTCTGTGTTAATGCAGACACTTATATTATTATTTTTTTTTAGAAAATTGATAAGGAGGGGCAAACAAGGGACCTGTAAAAGGTTACCCCAAACTTTCAAATGGGTAGAATCCAGTCAGTAGCCAAGAAATTAAATACACTGTCAAACTCAATGGGTCATATTATAAAAAGAGAACTGTTGCTACGAATGCTGTAAAGAAAGGCAGGTTGATATTTTTCTTTCCGTAAGACCTACATACCCTAGATATACTTTGGATTAGCCTATACAGTTTATCAGATTAAGAAAAACATGGATGCAGTGGTTCAGAAGGTATAGAATCACAGAATTATTAAGGTTCGAAAAGACCTTCAAGATCATCTGCTCCAACCATCACCCTACTACCAATGCCACCCACTAAACCATGTCCAACCTTTCCTTAAATACCCCCAGGGACGGTGACTCCACCACTTCCCTGAGCAACCTGTTCCAAATGCCTGTATACTCTTTCTGAGAAGAAATGTCTCCTCATTTCCAGCCTAAACCTCCTCCAGCACAACTTGAGGCCTTTCCCTCTAGTCCTATCACTAGTTATCTGCAAGAAGAGGCCAACCCCCAGCTCCCTACAACTCCCCATCACCTTTCCTTGCACCAAGGTCAGGCTGACAGGCCTGTAGTTCCCTGGGTCCTCCTTATGACCCTTCTTATAGATGAGCCTCACATTAGCAAGTCTCCAGTCATCTGGGACTAGTCTGGTAAAAGAACAAAAGAACTTGGTCAACTTCAAAAATATTTTAATTTTCCACTGGATCTTACAACGGTGTCTAAAACATTAACTGAGGTCCAAATGTATACAGGATCTACGTGTCACCAACTTTAAAAAAGAAAGAACTATGTAGAACCAGTAACAGAATTTTGGTTCACATCAAATGTAATGAATAAATTCCTAATTGAGAACCCAAATGTTTGTATAAATACTTCCATGGGATTGTCTCAGTTATGAGACTAGTGACAGAAAACAGCAAAGGAGAAAAGTTATCTCCATAAGTACATAGGTAGGAGCATACAAGAAAACTGACCGCACCTAACCTAAATCATAAATTCCTAAAGGAGTGGTAACCTGGAGATAACCGGATGGTAAAAATTTAATAGCATATGAAGGACAGTTTGAAAAAATCTACTCTTTTAGCAATTTTGTTTTCATATGAACTTTTAGTTCTCTGACAGTTGGTGTATTAGCTCCTTAACTGTTTCATATAGCTGTAAAATTTTTGAAAAGTTGTTCAGAAGGTTTCCTTTCAGGAAACTGTACTCTGAACTGTGGTATCTGGTACATTTATAATGCACTATAAAGTCCATTTGCTTCTAATTTTAAATGAAAACCTGGTGTCTAGTTCAGACTAGATCTGAACTTGTTTTTAATTACCTGTAGAGTTTGTCATATTAAATTGGGTTAAGTTTCATCACATTACTTGCATGGCACAAAACAAATGAATATAAACTGGCATAACATGTAGCATACTTAAAATACTTTGCTAACTACTTCATTTTATTGAAAATGAATGAGGTAGAAAACTTCCTCTAGGATGGTAATTTTAACCTTAACTATGGCTTCTACTGTTAAGAACTAACTTCTGGTAGGAAAGTAGTGAAAAAAAAGTAGAAATAAAAAGTAGAAAAATATAGTGAAAAAAAAAGTAGACGTTTTCAAGACTGATAAGAATGAATATGAAAGAATACTTTAAGATCTTATTGGAAAAAATATAATGAGAAGAAATATGCTTTTTACACACAGGTTTGAGTGTCAAAAAGATGTATCTGAACTGGGACTGGATGAAGTCTAACAGGATAATGTATTGCCATGCAAACAATTCATGTCTTCTAACTTTGAAGTAGGATCTAGAGAGCAAGTGCAAAACCCAAGAATTTAGTAGTACAGATAGATTAAGTCTTGAAGTACTTAGGAGACTGACTGTGCAAACTTGACACATGCTGTCTTAACAAGAACAAGAAACAGCTCACATGCCATTGGGAAATAATGCCAAACTAATAAAATTTGCCTAAAATTTCTTCTTAACATTCACCAAAAGAAACTTACCATGAAACTGCATAACAAATAGAGTCTGAAATATATGTTGCACATACAGAACTGGATACTAGTAAAAAAATACACATTTGAAGTACTTTTGAAAATCTGAACACATTAATGATAGAGGATATTACTGTATCTTTAGTGTCAGAAAAGCTCTTTAAATTTTTTCCCTATACTTTGTCATTTTCTGCTGTCATTAAATTGCATCTCATTAACTTTCAGAATGAAACATATTTGAATTCCCACCCAAATAGAAATTTAAATGATGAAGATTCATCTTTGTACATTTGCAAGACAAAGAAAGGTGACATTAATGGAACATGAAGCATCATGAATTAGAGGTAGTAAAATATTTAAACTTACTTGTAGTTGTTCTGTAACTATGACACCCAGTCCACACTAAAAGTACACATGAAAACTAATTAGTTTAGTGTCTTTTCTTTTCCTTTTCAGCACATTTTTAAAATGCAGTGATTTTTCTCAGACACATTATACTCATCTCACAGTAGAGTTTTTAAAGAATAAACTTTATGATAATGACTCAAAAATCTTATTGAGCCAGTATTTATTAAAAGGATATAATAGATTAGAATGATACTAAATTCTTAAGGTGTCATTATTCAACACATCTCAACTTACCTCCTGCTTGACCATAGTTAAACTGTAAGGTTTTAGAGCCTTAGATAGCCTTTTGACAGCAATAGTCAGGGATGAAATCTAATTAATTGTAAGATAAAGCTTTCAGCATTTGCAAATAGGATTATATGATTTAATTCCTAATGATAAGGGGCCTGGACTCCCGACCAAGATTCCTGCTATTGCTAGTCCTAACATTTAGTATGATTAATGCTGCATAATATTGAATAGACTTTATATAATTTGAAAAGTAAGATTAGCCAAGATAATTTTTACTGAAATCACATTCTGTACCTTTGCTTACAAGTGGTCCATGTTCTAACTTTAATATGAATGCAGACAATTATAGTACGTTTCATACCATATATTTTTCATCTTCTCTCTCTTACCTCAATGAATAGGATTTTTATATTTCTTCTCTGACTGCATGGTAAACTCATTTATATCCTGTTTCAGTTTCCTATCTGATTAATTCTTTTCCCTACAGATTTATTTTTGCTGAACCATGATGGTACCACACAGACAGCAGAATGAAGAATAAAATTCATACACAATCATGTAAGCAGAGATACAATGCCTGCAACTCCTATCCATTTCAAAGAAGCTGCCATTGTTTAATACCTTTAAAAGTTGCACTGCTGTTTATATCTGCAGAATATATTATCCCAGCATATAGCACTGGATAATTATCAGTCAATGAATGCACACTGTGAAGTAAATATCAAAATTGGCACAAAAAGAAATGCCTTCTTTGCACTCCACACTTGTTGCCAGAATAATTATGTAATCTTTAGGGGGAAAAAAGTCTGAAAAGGCCATTGAATGAAAACCTTTCCATACCTCTAGGTTTAACAAGAATACAACTGAAATAACATATACAAAGCTGGGGAGAAAATTCTGAGGAAAGCTGATTGAATTTCCATCAAGAATCCCAAAGATTTTAGTACTATCAGCAGACTCAGATAAAACTCTATACATAAGCACTGCTCTGTCTTGCAATGGCATATAATAGAAGAAGGAACACCAGATTTCATTATAATTGTCAGTTCTATTCAAATAGGCATACAGTGCTACTGTTCCCTCACATTAAGCATTTTCTTCAATTTTTAAGGCCATTTGGAAATGTGAGCAAGCTGGCAGTTTATTACCATCTGTATTTCACATAGCAGAGATGTTGCCAGTAATTTCCAACCAGAATTAAAATGAAGTGGTGGCAATCTCCCACTGTCAATAATCACATGGTCTCATAGGTTGGACACAAAATTAGGATTAGGAGAGACGTATCTTGCCACTAACTTTAGCAATGCACTTAAAATTTCCTACATTATCTAGCAATCTTAACTCAAGTACCACAACTACAGTTAAGACACTTTCCTACTCCTATGCTCCAAATTAGTTCTCAATGAAAAATAATTCAATTTTATAAGGTACTGGGTACAGCAGTTTCCAGTAACATATCTCTGCAGGAACTGCTACTTGTTGGCAACATTAAACTAGCATTAATATTGGTAGGCCTTAGGATAAGTTAATACAATCAGTAGGATTAAAATAAACAACCAGAACAGCAGACATCATGGACGAAACTAGCTTGAGTTACAAGGCTCTTCTGTCTGAACCCAAGGACAGTTAAAAAAGTCAATATGCAAAACTAATCTCATTCATTGTAAATTTGGGGCCAATTTAAAGCATAAAATATATATCTTTTGTACTAAATGAATACCTATTCAATTTCTCAGCCTTCTACCGTTTACATATTTGATAGCAAAATTAGAAACAGCTGTGTAAAAATTCAATCACATGAATGGAGAAGTCCTTCAGATGGATCAGAAGAATATTATAGCAGCAGTTTCTCTGTGCAGTAAGAAGTGCCTGGAAGTGGTTTACAGTTGTTCCAGTTCCCATGTCACCTGTTAAGGATAAGATGGCAGTAAAAGTAGGTCAGAAGTATACCACTTGACTTCATGAGAATAGAGCCCTAAACAATTAAAGTATAGCTGCTGGAATAACTAGTGTGTGAAGAAGAAACGAAAGGGGTTAAATATTTGATGGAGTGATGTAAAAGCATTCCATTAGTATTTCTCCCCAGCTTCATGGCTTTTCTGAGAAAACTTATAAGCTCAGCAACAGCACTTCAGTTGCTCTATGTGAATACATAAAAAACATTCTAGTGAAATTTGTAACCAGAAAATCTGCATGAAATTGAGAGCAGAAGAAAAGTGCAAGAGAGGTTTTAAACACTTACGATTTGATCATTGAAAAATGAGTATTCTTTCAGTTTGCACAATGCAAGGTAATAATCTAAAAATTAAGCTCCCTTAACTTTTTGATACTGCCCATCTATACTCCAGTATTGTTACTAAATGTCTTACCAACAACTGCTAACTTTTACAATCTCAGTAATCCACACTAATGCAGTAGAACTTAGATTTAAGAGCTGTTACTGTTAGTGCATTAATATAGTCAAAGACAGTTTAGAAGCAGACTAGGTGTACAAGTCCTGCTAACAGATATGACCCTCCAGGTACTCATTCAGTCTGGCAATAAACAAGCCACACTTTCAAGCTGTGGTTTCTCATTTCATATCTATAGTTCAATGTCAGGTCTACTGTTAACTGTGACTTTACAGTGGGAGGCAACAAAGACAACTTTTCTCATCCCTTGTTCCTGGGCCAGAATGTAGTTATTCTGTCCTGTACTGGGCTTTTGGTGTTTCTGTCCTCCACCAGGCTTTTGGGACCTTGGCACTGCAAAGTAACACTGCAATCTATTATATGCTGGTCCTTGGACAAGGTGCTATAGCTTCAGGTTCATTGCTACAGTTTTCACAAAACATTTTGAAAACAGATGGGGATAACCAACGCTTTCTGAAAAACATATCCTCTGTTACAGAACATGACTGCAATATGCCTTCTGTCAACAGAAATAGGATGTCATAGGATGCTAAAATCTATTTTACCAGCCACTGCTGGTCATATCATAACTGTCACTCATATGACAATCCGCTATCACTGCTGCCTTACCTTTACCAACCAAGTCCCTCAAGAGTTATTGTATGATTTTAAGCAAACTTCATTATAGCCTATAGAGTAAGCAGAGTCCTTATTCTCTTCTTTGAACTACGTGACATCTTATTTTGAGCTGAAGCCAGTAGTCAGTACATTAGCTGCTTAACTTAGTCACTGAGTAAGCAGCTTAATTTGTTTTCAGTAAAACTTCATGCAGCTTGGCACTCGGCCAAGTTCTAGGTAAATATTATTTTTTAAAATGATAAAATACTAATAACTCTTAAAATTTTTCAAACAGTATTGAAATAGCTGTGCCAAAACCAAAACAATATATAGTGATCAAATGTTCTGTTGAGTAGTTAATATACTTTGAGGTTTATTTTCTTCACCACAGGGAACATCAGACTGACCTAAGTTAGAAATTTCTTTCCATAACCCCCAAATTTGGATTCTTTTGAATTAATACATTATAGAATTATACTCTCAGTTCACCTATTTAGTCTGAAAACAGAAGCACAAGTAAGTCGTCTGTATATGGCTTTGAAGTCACTTTAATACATCTATTTCTACATGAAGGTCTTAAAAAATCAAAAAATGTTAAAAAATCTTCTAAAAAAAGAACACTGTAGTCATGTTCCTGATGACATACAAAATGTCTCCTCATTTTAAATTGTTTCTGCCTACTTTTTCACAGGAGGAGAAAGATATTCTCAAACATAATACGTGAAAGAAAGAGATGAGAAAATCCACATCACAGACGAAAATCTATATGATTTTGCTGGGAATAATGGACCCAATCCACTAAATAGTTTTTGAGAAGCAGCCAGAGATCAAGAAACTGCCTTCTTTTCAACACACACACAAATGAAAGAAATATTTTCACAACTGGGAAGTATGCATTTGTAATTTGTTCTACGCTTCTTTCCATACACTTCTGTGCTTCTTCTCTAGAGATAAGTCTAAAGCTGAGAAAAAACAACGCATGAAACATCATGACACTGAATCAACTCCTCACTAACATCAATAAAATGAACACTTTTGCAGACCAATAAAAGTGATATTTGTGCAGGATGCTTATTACCTAATTATTCAGTTAATTGGATTCAAAGGAGTGCTACAATGTATAGACAGTATCTGTCAGTAATAACTTTTTCTAAAAGTAGAGAGATATTTTAGAAGTAAAAATACAGGGTAGGTATTCCAGGAACATTAATTTTTCTATTGAGAATACAAAAGTATTTGTGTTCGTTTACACCTCTGTAACAGATGTCATTTCATTTCTGCAAGTGTCTATCTGATTGATTTTTTTATTTTTATTTTTATTTTTATTTTTTGCCAATAATGGATTTCTCTCAGGCACAGATTAAAATCAGCTTCTATAGCTAATTCCACAAAATAAAAATTTCCTCTGCATTTAACAAAATGTCCTCTGTGGTTTCAGATTCAAATAGACAGATGGAAACAAATAGAACATCAAGAACTGAAAGTTAGAAGACGCTAATTCTGAATATCTTCTGAGAGCTGGTTCATTTAGAGACCTCACTACCTGTGGATAATTCATGTGTGCTCATTCCAGCTATTGCTGATTTAAAATATTAAGACAGCTCACTAACCTCAGTAAAGAGACCCATAGGTTTGAAAGACAGGATAAGGGAAAAAGAACAAGCTTGCTGAGCACACCAGATGAAAAATTTATAATTTTAATATCTTTGTATTTCCATATTCTATTATATGCTCATCAGAAGCTGAAGCATGGAATAGAAGTTACTTTATTTCTTTTCTGCCTGCAGGTATACACCAAAGCGTCAAGCTGATGGGTTGGTTCATATAACACCAGCTACTCTTATCACCCAGATAATTTATTTATACTGAAAATTGTGTTTTCCCAGGACAATGTTGATGCAGTATGACTGCCTTTTCAGTTTCTAAAGATGTATAATAGTAATGTGGATACATATATTGATAAAATTTCATTCCCTATATGCGATCAAACATGGTATACAATAAGGTTTTTCAGTTATAAAGCTTAGGAAACCAATTGTACACCATTTCATTTTCAACCCAGTACAATATTTTCCCAATTTTTAATGTCTGAATGGCCGTGCATATTTAGTCTTTTCACTTCCACATTAACAAACCTATACACAAATACCTGCAAGTCCTTCATGATGTATGAATGCTGTTTATTTGGTTTTGTTCCTGGAGAATTGAAACCAAACCTGTATTTGGAATTTAAGTTAACAGAAATGCATAGACATGTCAATTGCATGCATTAATCTTAATGCATAAGCATAATGCATAACAGATAAAATGGGCTTCTGGCATAATAAGTTGCATGATATATGTTTGAGTTCATGTCTACTATTACACCAGTACGCTAAGCCATGTGATAGCAGAAATGAGGCACAATCTACAGACATGTCCTGCTGCACACCACTTTTGCACAGGATAGTTTGTTTGCATGTCCAAGATCATTATCAGGTTTAGGTTAACTCCTTGTGCGATTGCTGACAGAATTAGGGCCCTGCAAAACAAGTAAAAAGCACTAAAGACACATTAACGTCATCCAAAAAAAGTATTGAGACTCTTACTTGACTTTTTAAGTCACTTAGAGACTTGAACAGAGATCATTCACTTACAGGTTGCTAGACGTGAAAGACACTAATATTTCTTCTGAGAAGCATTCATTGATAAAAGTCAGTTTATACAAATCAGGTTAATGAAAGTGACCTGAAAGTAAAGGAAAACAAGCAAAAAAGGGTTGTACACATTTGAGTGTATACTTACAGTTAGCATAACCTTTCTTATTGGAAATGAGCTTTGAATTCTCTGATTCTATGAAATTCTCAAAATGTGTGAATATATATATATACATATATCTTTAAAAGAGACTTATCTAAGCCTTTATGATTGGTAGCCACTGAGGTAGAAAATGTCCTCACCTCTACTTAGGCTAAGTCCTATGCGTTACAGCACAGACCAGAAGTTGAGTGAAACACTTGGAGCTTTGGTTTGTGACCAAATAACTTGGCAAAACTAAATTCAGTGATAATGAAGCTTCACAGATTTACATGTCCTGAAAACTGTGAAAGCAAATTCAATATTGTACTCCTGGAGATCATTACAGCATTGAAATACTTTCATAAAAAGATAAAAAATATGAAGAAGACAAACTGCTCACAGAACTGAATAGTCATAGCAAACGACAACTATAAAGAAACTTTGCCAACTCTCCTAAAATAATATACTTATTTGATATACTTATTTGTACTGGTGATTTCAGTAATTATTTTTTTTTCAGTAATTAAATTTTGAAATACTTAATTTTCAAAAGACATTTAAAATATTTACCCTAGTATGTTAGAAACAGTAACTTAACTGAGAACAGTACTAGTTAGCTCTATGGTAATTACCACTATAATTGAGAAGTGCTTAAACACAGGTCATGATGTCCTTACCGGAGATTATTCCCAAAAGATGAAGAGTGCAGTCTTTTAGGCAGTGAGGAATTCAGCATTGAAACATAGCAATAAAGAAGTTTGAAATGAATATGCCAGGAGGGGCAAAAAAGTATCCCCAAGACTTACCACACTGTTGAGAATGTAGGAAAGTTATGGAGAACAGCTACTTGCAGAACATGTGATAAAATGAAGAATAACATTTTAACCTTCTTAAAGATTATTTATTCCTAAAATCTGAGTTTAGCTATATGAGATAATCCACATTTACTGCAACCAACTAACCTGAATAACATTTTCTCTGTTTGAATTTCAAAAAGAGCCTGTGACAGTTTCAGAGTCTTCCTCTACAGAAAATTGTAAAATCCATATGTTCTGATGAGCAGAAATAAATAAAAAACTAGCCTTTTTCACATTCCAAGCATGTCTGTTAACTTTCTCTAT